CAATCTAGTTGGACTCACCTGCTATAGTAGTTACCATAATTCCCAGCGTCGTACCATGGACTTATTACATTCCCAGACGTCTCGCTGGTATTACACTCGGCAACGCCAGTGACTTTTGCCAATCTCAGTACCAAGCTACAACAATTGGTCCGAGGATTGACTTCACTTATCTCTTTGACGAATTTTAACTTGGTTCTGAGACTGGCAGGACTTACTAACGATGCCGACGAAACGTTTGAGAGTGTACCAAGTCCACGATCCGACACTTGGAAATATCAATACTGCTATAGCTGAGAACTTAGGACAAGATGCATCCAGCAAAGTCGCACTGACAACACAATCATGCTGCTAAAACGAGATAAGACCACATCCATACATTGAAAGGAGACTGCGACCAAAATAGCATCCACAAAATCTTTATCTTCGTATATACATCAGCAAAATTAGATCTACAATGGATTTTCTTCAAGTGAGGGAAAATTACATCATTTACCCATTTTTTCCCTGCCCATCCACCGCCCCGAATGGCCTCAACCGTGTTTCTCTCACTAGAAACCCTTAATATACTTATTTTTTAAAATTTCCGATACTAATTGAAAGTTAATACCTCTTGAGTTGCCTGAAGATATCTCACAATTGATGCTAGAATATCTAAATGCCTTGCTTGTTTTGCTTTTGTTTGGCCCTTAAGTTTATTATGAACGAATCTACTTCTTGATTATCAATAATTCTTAATTGCATATCTTGAATTATTCTTCACAAAACCTCAAATATTTTTTAGCATAGCAGCCAACATTTCTGCAGATTTTCTCTCCGTTCCACTCTTTTCACGGAGGCCATTCAGCCTCAGGTCAACCTGACTTCTTGGACACTCCCTGTTAGGTGAGAATGTAGTGCAAATGAGCTAGATACACTGCTCTTTCACATGCATATATGAATGCATTTAAATCTAGACATCTGCCAATTTCTTATAACAACACAGATCTTGCTTTCTGAAAGTTTAATATTTTTATCATTACTATTAAATAGACACTTTAAAAATTATTTATATTGTTATTCCTTCATCCCCTTGGAATGGATGTCTATGGACATCATTAATTAGGTTCCTTGCTCATTTTCTCATCTGATGTCTTTGTTAGATGCCATTCCTAGTGTATC